AGAAGGAAGAGGAAATGAAAAGAGAAAGAAGAAGAAGATGAACAAGGAAAGAAAGAAGAAGGAAAAAAAGAAAGAAGTGTATGGGAAAAGACATGAGAAAATTGTAGATTAAAAGAAGAAAAGGGGAAGTGAAAGGGAGAAAAAAAAGGAAAGAAAGGAAGAAGAGGAAAGAGAAAGACATAGAAAAGTTCTAGATTAAAAAAGGAAGAGGAGAATTTAAAGGGACTGTCATTGTAATTTCGAATGATTTCCCCTTCAAAGAGGGACATGCCAAATTTCCAACGATACCCTTCAACCATTTTTATCAATAATGTGAAAGATATCGTCGTTATTGTGAATTGACATGTCACTCAATAAATTGTGAGAAACTTCGTTTATGAAGTCTCTTTAAGTAGGAAAAACAAGGAAAAAATTAAGGAGGGGGGGGGGGTGCCAGAAAGGAAAAACAAGTATAAAATAAATCAAAAACACTTAATCCTTCATATTTAAAAACTTGTTTAACTTAACTCTATATTTGCTTCTTGGTTTTGTATTCAAATACTCAACTTGGCACGCAACGAAAGACCGCAGTTGGACAAGTAATGTTTATTAGTAAAGATAAATACATACTTTTGCTTTATATCAAACCATGTATTTATTATTGGAAAAACTTCCTAAATCCTAACGAAGAAAATGTTAAATAAATTAGAGCTAATTTTCTGTTGGATATCCGCATTAGTCTAAAAATTCAGCGGCTCAAATCTAGGAATCCTCAAGTTTGAAATCCACCAATAACTGCATTTCACATCTGAAATAAATTCTGCGGCTAAGGTTTAGCCACCATCTTGAATATCTCCGGCTCAGCCAGGGAATCCTAGACGTCACCAAAACGCGTTCTGTTTTCTAGCTTTTCATTTTTTTCATATTCGAAAATTTTCTTTTCCCCAATACTAAATAACTTACAATTATTCTTTTTTAATTTGTGGACCTAAAAATATATATATTCCTTTTAATTTTGACAGGCCATAAACAAAGGAGTTAATACAACAATCGGGTCGGCCATTTTGACGTTTATTAGAAACAGACTAACAAACATCCAGACAGACAAACAAAGCATGATATATTTATAATTGTTTACAAATTGAACCATTTAGTACATTAAGGTTATCATTATTGGTAATAGATGTAAATGTCGTGGCCTTTCATTATGAAATTACAAAAATATGTAGCATTGTTTTTTTCGATTGATAATCTGTGCAGTTTCTGTAAAATTAGAGCGTGCACAAATCCGGGATTTATTAGTTTAGGTAGAGTGGGGGGGGGGGGGTTATTCTGCAGCATTTCAGCTGAGCTAGACAATATTATTACTAAATAGTCTTAAAACAAGTTAATAAACTCCATTTTCTTTCTTTTCCAGAGCTCACATTGCAGAGAATTGTCACAAAGCTTTTTTTATAATTGATATGTACGAAATATACGATACTCTTTGTAATAATTGTAGCTTTTTTACTTAAAAAATAGCTTCATGCATTATAAAACATGTGTAAGATTTTGCAAATTTGTCTTTTTTTCATAGTGGATTTCCAAAACTTGGACCTGATCGTAACAGCGTAATTTTTTCTAAAATGTGGATCATGTCAGTAATCTATAAATTTATAAATTTTTAATATTCAATACTACGTACTATGTTTAAAAACACAAATTGATAAGTCATATCGCCATCTTTGTTTTCTCTTCGCTTTATATCTTTAACATGTAATTATAGTATGCAAACCTATTTTGTGATGAATTTAGTTTGCTGTTTTCAATAAAGTATTCGAGAAGAAGAAGTAATTTATCAACATTGTTATAATGTATTGTAAAGAAATGGATTTTGTTTCTAAAAATGGGTAAAAAACAAGTATAATTGTATGTACTATTTGTTAGATTTATTTCTGCATCGATTTGAAAAGTTAAGATTTAAACAAAAACTTTTAAACGATCTATAAAAAGTTGAATATTGGGAATCTGTATTTGGTCTATGCAGTTCTAACATCTCCTATTCACTAAATTAAATATTTTTACCTTAATGCCACTCCAGTATACCGGTCCATTAGCGCCTGATCCAATCAGGGTTTAGCTATGTGTTTGTTGTTGTCCATTCTGAACCAATAGAACTAGTATGGCGGTTATACCTATCTTTCTATCTATCTCATTATCCAATCAGAGTTATGAATACTTAAATGGAAACATTTACTTCTACTGAAACAATTGCATCTACAAGGTTATTCCAAAGTATAAGAGTTCAGAGACGAGTTTATTCCCTGATATATCATGTTCTCTGTTAGTCTTTCTTTGTAAAATCCAAAATAAGTCAAAACTTTTGATGAGGAAAGGAGGCGCGAAGTGCTAAGTGCCCTAAAAATCTAGTGTTTTCTAAAGTTTTCAAAAAGGAAAAGAAGTGAATACCTCGATCAATTAAAATGTAATCAGATGTCTGATTTATTTTAAATATTTTATTGAATTTTTGATCAGAACTTTATAAATGTCAGAATAAGAAATGTAATCTTTTCCTAAATATCAAAATGAATTATTAATTAGACATGAGATATTTTCACATGTTCCTATAAGGTTGTTCACCGTATTCTGTACATTATACATCTTATACTCTACACTGTACAGAAGCAATGCACTGCATACTGTACTTTAGTCTGCACTCTTTAATGTAAACATTCACTGCGCATACTGCTTACTGTACAGAAAATAGAACACAGTACACTGTACTGTAGAGGGAGTACTGTACACTGTACTGTAAGCAGAGTACTGAATACTGTAATGTAAACAGAGTACTGTACTCTGTACTGTAAACAGTATACTGTACTCTGTATTGTAAACAGAGTACTGTTTACTGTACTGTAAAGTAAACAGAGTACTGTACACTGTACTGTAAACAGAGTACTGTACTCTTTACTGTAAACAGAGTACTGTAACTGTACTGTAACTGTACTGTAAACAGAGTACTGTACACTGTACTGTAAACAGAGTACGGTACACTGTACTGTAAATAGAGTACTGTACACTGTACTGTAAACAGAGCACTGTACACTGTCCTGTAACCAGAGTACTGTACACTGTACTGTAAACGGAGTACTGTACACTGTACTGTAAACGGAGTACTGTACACTGTACTGTAAACAGAACAAACACAGGAACCGTCTTTCGTGTTAAAAGTTTTAACATACACTGTATTATGTACTCTGCACGCTATATATAAGATATGTATTGTAATCATACTGTGTACACAATCAACATGACCATATGGTTTTTACACATAAAACAATAGCGTACTTTTTTATATAATTTTCATTTTCTAAAATAAACTTTACAAATTAGAAAATAACTGAATTCCATTGTTTTCTCTCATAAAAAAACATTTAAAAGTTTTCCAGTTATTTTATTATCAAACATTGTCAAACATTTTAAAGTTTGCCACTTTGCTGAACTAATTTGTTTTTGTAATGAGAGGAAAAGACTAAAATTACAAAAAAAAAATTAAAAGATATTTGAATCTGAATTGTAGCAAAGTTAATTTCATCTCTAAGCAAAACAATACTTTTTTGCTGCGTTCTAGTTAGTTCTAGTTAGTTCTAGTTAGTTCTAGTTAGTTCTAGTTAGTTCTAGTTAGTTCTAGTTAGTTCTAGTTAGTTTTCAACTCTTATGACCTTATTTCTCAGATTGAGTTCTATTATTTAGACATATAACACATGGTGAACCAGCAGATGTCAAAACTTTTGGATGTTAAATCTGTTTATAACGAGCTCACTCTCCTCTATCTGAACCGGCTCACAGCAACCTCTTTTTTATTTTTCTTAATGATCGTAAAATGGATTTCCTGTATATCCACGCTAATAACTTTAAATCCTTTAATTTTAGAGTTTTCAGGCTTGAGCTCAGAAACTAAACTTTCGCTACAAAAGTCAACTTTACCAACTAAGCTACGAGTATTTTCGAGTTCAACAATCAAATTTTGAGGCAAATAGGTCAAGAGATTCCTGAGTTATGATCGGTCACACAAACAAAGAAACACCAAAACCGATCTTGTCTTTACTCGTACTAACCCGTCTAGTGTACACAGGATGTAGTTGACCCAACGCGTTTTCCGCAAAAAGTAAGCGCTGACTGATCTCATGTGAAATTCTCAACTGTCGGTGTACTCAACTCCTCGAGTTCTTGTATTAATTTAACTGAGCCCACTGAGTTCCAGATCACACCAAAAAAGTTCTGTTTAATTTTTTTCGGAAATAAAGTCCTAAATTTTAGCATTAAAAAAGTCCTTTGGAAAAAAATCTTGAAATAAAAGGTCTTTGAAAATAAAGTCCTACCATTTTAAGGCTTTATTTTCTGGTTCCAGTATGATTTTATAAAAAAGTCTCCGGAAAAAAGTCCGCTTATATTGGAAAATACATGGGAACAAAGGATGTTTACAAATATATTGGCAATATTTTTTTAGGACTTTAATTCCAGTGATCTAATTTCCTGAGACTTTATTAGCAGTCACCGTATTATTTTAGCAAAAAAAGTCACAGGAATCTAAAACTCAGCTGACTTTATTTTCAGTTTCATTTTGTCCTAGGACTTATATAGATTCCCAGATGACAGACTGAATATATACAGACTGCAAATCAGCTTTCACAGGCTGGGCTAGGAAGGCCTATAGTCGTACTGGCACGACATGCTATTCTTTTGACTGCCATCTAACCACCACTTGATGCCAATGATACTCATTCGAGGTTAAGTTTTACAATCTTTAAAGAAATACTACACTAACATCGTTTAACATAAAAAATAAAATTTTAGAATTTAGTCTATTTGTTTAGTTTTTGTATTTCGTGTTCAAAGAATCCTTAAATATCTCTCAATATAAACGTACACGTCTGCTTATTGGTCGCGTACTCTAGTTGTACAAAATGAAACTTGTTGTAGAAAATATCGCATATTCTAGCCTTTAATTGATCTCTGTACTCTTTTATCTCTGTTTCAGATTAGAATGAGAAGTGGGACGAGTTTCTGGATTTGTATCTGGATTGTATCTCTAGCTCCAGTACTAGATTCTCTAAAGCTGGTTAGGATCCAGGTTCCAGGTAGAAATGCGCAAGTCACTCTACGTAGAGAAACCACATTTCAAAATTATCAATTTTCAAAATTGTAAACATTGATATCAAATTTATATTTAATAAGACAACTTGAATTAGTAATCACATAGAAAATATTCTTTTTACAAAAATATTGATTTCTACAAAAGTGACCTATTAGATTTACACCATTCATGAAACAACCCTGTTTCCTGGTGGTTTCATACTGATACCCAGTTATAGGCTCTGGCTATATAGGGTGTCCTACGAAATCTGAGAGTAACAAGACGACTTAAAGGTCGTCTTTGATCTATGAAATAATTTACGGCATTTATTCGTAAAGCAAATGTTAGAAATAAAATTCTAGAATGAATAGTCACAAAATATCCTTAGTCTTGGTATTTCCAAAATGTGGGTTGCTTTGGTGTGCTCTCAATATTTGCGGAGAGCTGACAAATTTGGTTCAGATTTCGACAACTTTGGCTTATTTAACAAAATTGAAATCTGAACAAAATTCTGAATCTCTGTCCGGTAATATTTACAGCACAATAAAGACAGATCACAAAAACCAGGATAAAGAAGAAGAAAAATATATGTTTAAGTAAGTTGATGACAGAATGTCACAAAAAAATCCAAAATCAAAGACGACCTTCAGTAGTCTAGCTGCTGCCATGTTTCGTAGGGTAACCTGTAGCTGTTAGTGCACATATTACTAACTGTAGACTGTAGATTGTAGACTGTAGACTGTAGACTGTAGACTGTAGACTGTAGACTGTAGACTGTAGACTGTAGACTGTAGACTGTATTAAACAAAACAAAACTAAAATTAAACCTGTGAAGTTAGGTTGAGTGGGAAAGTTGCATAGAGAATAGAATATATAGAGAGGAATTAAAAGAATCTCTCGGTATGAATTTTTTCAGTCCCTTTGAGCCTGAAAGGGAGTTCAAAGTGTACAAATCATGTAAATGTTCACAAATTATATGCAGTAGAGTACATTAATACAGTATGTTCCCTAGACTATTCATTTCAATTTCGAAATTTTTAAAGCTGTCAAATAAACTTTATAATGAATTAGGTGAATAAAAACATCATTTGATTTGTTATAACGGAAAATCATCGTTTGTAAAGTGGAAGGCATAGAGTCTATGTGAAATGATCATTGGTCAATTATGAAACCAGCCTATTTCATAATTTGGTTTTCTTTTAACAATAATTTTAGATTTTCTATAAAATGATATTCCAGGGCCCAACAGGTTATATAGCATAAATATGTGAAGTACACCTGCAGAATGGAAACAGTACAACAAAATGGCCGTTTTACATTTTTTTCGAGTAAATTTTTCTCTATATATTCTATTCTCTATGGAAAGTTGACACGAAATTTAATAAAAAAAAGTTAATTACAGAATAAGTTGAAAACCAAGGGAAGGGTGTTATATACTTAATTAACAAGTTTCTCGAGAAATATTAATTGAATAACAACATTTCTGCATCTAATTCATTCATTCATTAAACAAAGTGGATTCAATGGATTATACATGTTGGCTAAACGGCTTTTTAATAAAGTTGTTGGACTAACTTCTTTAAACGAAGTATTGTCTATGTTCAAACGAAGTATTGTCTATGTTTAAACGAAGTATTGTCTATGTTTAAAGAACGGTTTTTACCCTTTTTCGACCTTTAACTCTAAAAGGCTGGGAGATGGATTTGGCGCCCCCCTCCCCGTAGTTTTTTTTGGGATCTAGCAGTCTGACATCTGAACATATCATCCTAGGACGGGATAAAGGCTGGCCGTTGTCTAAATAAATTCTAGAATATTCCATTACTTTTCTATTGTTTGAGCTTTATCTAGATCCAAAAAACATATTTAAAAATTGTCAAATTTTTCCTGGGAAAATTTTCAGCTTTGACCGGCCATAAACTTTTTTCTGGCGTTTTGTGAGTTTCCACAAAAAATGGAGCCCGATAAGTTCAGCCGCTTTGACGTTTGTTGAAAACAACAGACAAACAATCCAATATAAATATAGATTGTTAACACTTTGCGATCCGTGGATTTAATATTAATTGTTCTATAGCCGGGATATATTAACTTTAGTCAAACTTTGAATCACGATGCAGTACAATTACGTCTAAACGAAATTAAACTTGGTGAAACTAAAACTTTATTTTTGATTTTCACTTTGAAAATATTTACAACAAATAATAAAAAAACAGAATAATACAAAAACAAAATAATAAAAAACTCTTTTTCTTCCAGAACACTCCTGTATGCCGTGTCCATTAGCGCCTGATCCAATCAGGGTTCAGTCATGTGTTTGTTGTCTATTCTGAACCAATATAAAACGTATGGCGGTAACATCTATCTTTCTATCTATTTCATCATCTAATTAGAGATATGAATCCTTCTATCGGCGCTATCAGTAAATGAAATATTTACTTCTACAAAAACTATAGTGAGAAGTTTCTAATGTGTTGAAATCTTAGCTCTAAACTTTTGAATTTAGAGTTGGATTTCTCAACTAATTCCGATATTTAAAATTCATAGTTTTACTTCAATAAATTTGAGATTTTTATCAGATAACAACATTTTTATAGTTTAATTTGTTACATTGGACGAAAGAAATTGAGATTTGAGATATCAAAGGTTTACATCATCAGATTGCTAATATATAGGGATTTAAAATTAAGTTTGTGCCAAAGAATTATTCCTTTGTACCTCTCCATGATGATATTTATTAGAACCAGTTTTCAAACACCATTCGTCGAAATGATTTTTTACTCGTTTTGAAAAAATGTTTTGATATTTTATAAGGATCTCAGAATCTTGTAATGCCTATAAAAAAATCCTTAAAGGGGCAGACCGGCTATATATGGTAGTTAAACTGAGTATGCAGTGTTGTGGAAAAATTCTTTAAGATTCATTTGAGACATATTAAATTTTTTTCACGATGTATAATTACTGAGTTTGAGTGAATAGTCGACGTTCAAAATCATGACTTTGGGTGGGTACGTAGTCAGAATCGGTTTTTTAAATTGTTAAATAACGACGACGAAAAATAAAGTAAACATTATACAGTAAACTAATAAGATGGTTAGGAACATATTTCTCAAAAGAAATCTGTCAATAAATCAATACTAGAATCAATTATTTCGTTTTATCATTATATTGAATTTCTTATTTTCTATAAATTTATTGGTAGATTTCTATAAATTCTTCAAATGTCGTCTTTTCAATAATAATTTCAGAAAATCTGCAGACAATCTTTGTTAATAATGAGAAACTAGAATAATGGAAAAATTTAAACTTATAATTGAATAAGATTACTTATTTACGTTGATAAGATTAATTTTCATTTCTCAACCTGTTCCTAAACAACTAATTAGTTTACTGTAGAATTTTGTTTACATTTTTTGTCGTCGTTATTTAATAATTAAAATAAAAACAATTCTGAAAACGTTTCCGCCCAAAAGTACGATTTTGAACGTCAACTTTGCGCTCAAACTAAGGATTTACAGATCTTAAAAAAGTTTTAGATGTCTCAAATGAATCCTAAGGAATTTGTCCACAACACTGCATACTCATTTCAACTACCTTAAATAGCCGGTCTTTCCCTTTAAATGCTTTAAATCGAACCAAAAAAACAAAACCCATCTCTATCTGAAGTGTCATTAAATACAGCATAGTCCCTCCGAGTCCTTCCTAATAAACAAGGATGATTTACTGAACCTAGTCCCGGAGTAAAAACCTTAATAATTCTTCTCCGTCCCATCCTACCTGTCAGAAAAAAAGTTGTGTTAATCCTTTTATTTAAAAGATATTTTAGTTAAACACAGAGAATAAACGCCTTCTTCCACGACGTTTTAACCTTTTTATAAAGAATGATTTGTATCTTCATTTTTTTACTGTTCATTTTTGATGAAGAAATCCTAAAGTGCTAGCGGAGAATTTGGTTTAAAACCCAAAGATAATAAATAAAATTTTACCCTTGTAAGTCATTAAGCATTGATATAACAAATCTTCTCGTGAAAAAACCTAAGCTTTTTTTAAATGTTACATTCAAGCTTACTTCAGTTTTCTGGATAATATTTCAATATTCGGATTATTCTTATTTTTGTTGAGTTCAAAAAGAGCTATATGGCCAACTTTTCTCTCTATTTGATGATAAATATTAGACTCGAAAGTCCAAAAGAAACTTTGTAAGATTAATTTATAAAGTAGAGTTAATTTATAAAGTAGGGTTTCTAGTTTCTATGCTGACGGGCTGGTCTGTCATGGGAAATGTATATTCTAATTTATACTAAACTAATATAAGAAGAAAACTTTAACTTTTCTTTAAACTTTTCTTTTTTAAACTTCAGTCTGATAGTAAAATAGGTTTAACCATGCAGGGATACAATAGAATAGGTTTAACTAGAACAGAATAGGTTTAACATTACAGGAATAGAATAGAATAGGTTCAGACATCATGCAGGGATAGAACAGAATAGGTTTAACCATACAGGGATAGAACAGAATAGGTTTAAGCATACAAGGATAGAATAGAATAGGTTTTAACTATACAGGGATAGAATAGAATAGACTTAACCATACAGGGATAGAATCATGCTATGCAGGGATAGAATTGAATAGGTTTTAACTATACAGGGATAGAATAGAATATGTTTAAGCATACAGGGATAGAATAGAATAGGTTTGACCATACAGGGATAAAATAGAATATGTTTTAGCCATGCAGGGATAAAATAGAATAGGTTTAACCATACAGGGATAGAATAGAATAGGTTTAACCATACAGGGATAGAATAGAATATGTTTAAGCATACAGGGATAGAATAGAATAGGTTTAACCATACAGGAATAGAATAGAATAGGTTCAGACATGCAGGGATAGAATAGAATAGGTTTAACCACACAGGATAGAACAGAATAGGTTCAGACATGCAGGGATAGAATAGAATAGGTTTAACCATACAGGGATAGAATAGAATATGTTTAAGCATACAGGGATAGAATAGAATAGGTTTAAGCATACAGGAATAGAATAGAATAGGTTTAAGCATACAGGGATAGAATAGAATAGGTTTAACCACACAGGGAAAGAACAGAATAGGTTCAGACATGCAGGGATAGAATAGAATAGGTTTAACCACACAGGGATAGAATAGAATAGGTTCAGACATACAGGGATAGAATTGAATAGGTTTAAGCATACAGGGATAGAATAGAATAGGTTTAACCATGCAGGGATAGAATAGAATATGTTTAAGCATACAGGGATAGAATAGAATAGGTTTAACCATACAGGAATAGAATATAATAGTTTTAGCCATGCAGGGATAGAATAGAATAGGTTTAACCATGCAGGGATAGAATAGAATATGTTTAAGCATACAGGGATAGAATAGAATATATTCAACCATACAGGGATAGAATAGAATAGGTTTAACCATGCAGGGATAGAATAGAATATGTTTAAGCATACAGGGATAGAATAGAATAGGTTTGACCATACAGGAATACAATATAATAGTTTTAGCCATGCAGGGATAGAATAGAATAGGTTTAACCATACAGGGATAAAATAGAATAGGTTTAACTATACAGGGATAGAATAGAATAGGTTTAACCATGCAGGGATAGAAAAGAATAGGTTTAACCATACAGGGATAGAATAGAATAGGTTTAAACATACAGGGATAGAATAGAATAGGTTTAAACATACAGGGATACAATATAATAGTTTTAGCCATGCAGAGATAGAATAGAATAGGGCTTATCATAAAGAAATAGATTAGAATTGATTCAAACATATACAGAAATATAATGAAATAGGTTCAACTGTAGAGAAATGGAATAGAATAGGTTCAACCGTAGAGAAATAGAATAGAATAGGTTAAACTGTGGAGAAATAGAATAGAATAGGTTCAACTGTAGAGAAATAGAATAGAATAGGTTCAACTGTAGAGAAATAGAATAGAATAGGTTCAACTGTAGAGAAATAGAATAGAATAGGTTCAACCGTAGAGGAAGATTTCTCATATATTTTAAATTTTTGAATTAAAAAAACAGGGATACGGTAATTAATCATCCCCCCCCTCCCCCCCTGCATCACTCGAAAAGAATTTAAAATTTTCATTTAAAACAAGAAACCTTTAATTTAAAGTGCATAACTCCACTGCTTGATTGAATACTTGTATGCAGGAAAATATCATGCAAGAACATATTGCAAAATTTTGGTGAAAATGGATAAAATATTCAGAATATTGATCAGGTTAAGAAACCTTAATATCTCCCAGGAGTATACTATCTCCCTTCAAACCCTGAGATATATTATAGATTTAAAACTTTTTAACATCAAAAGAATCCTGGATGTCTCGTTAGAGACGGGAAGTCACAATAAATTTAAAAGTTGAATTTCGAATGTATAATGTTGTCCGAAGTCGGAAAAGAATATCCACATTGGAAACTTATGAATTTAGTCCTTTTCCCTTTAGAGATATACAGGTGGAATTAATCCGTTGGATCACCAAAAGATACGGATTAAAGCTCTCTGAAGGGATTAACTATACAAAGGTTTCGACCTCTATCTAAAGAATCCAAAAATAAAATTCGGGTTCCTAAAGCGTAAAGCTGCAAAAGTAAGATTTTTAAATTTCTCGGCTTCTGATTTGCTGATCGGTTTCTACATCCAACACTCTCATTGGTTGCATTTTAGATACTTTCCTGGATATTACTGTAAGATTAAATTATTCTTAAGATTAACAAAAAAAGAAGATGATCAAGCATTGATCTTGAGATCCACAGTTTTAAAGTTTTTAGCTCTGAGCTGAAGACTTTAGAATTCGATATCTTTAATCCTGATCGCTCAATCTGAATATCCAATGTGGACATTTTTAACTCGTTCTTTTTCTTTCTTTAAATTTTGCTGCCAGTTTCCAACCATGGATTTCTGATAATGTCTTGGTGGATTTGTAGTAGGCATATATGTTACATTTCCTAAAGATCATATATACTGTATCTCAACGTCTGATAAAAAATATGTTTAAACAACTGGACTCGCTGACCCGAATAGAATCAAATCAAATATACTTAAATGAATTTTAAATACATCTCTTGAAAGCACTCAAGTTAATATGCATCTTTATATGTTTCTAAAATTGTGGAATTGAATAATATTAAAACTCAAAAAAAACCATCTCCCTACAGGTTTGCAAGATCTATTTTTTTCGTTTCCAAACAATTATAAATGCGCCAAAAAACATTTTCAAATATAGATATTTTTGTTGTGAAAATATTAAAACTACCTAGTTTGTTTAATGGTCAGGAGGGTCCGGATTTCATTGGAAATTGTCATATTTTTTCTAAATTTTGAAGAGCTCTTATAGGTATTTTTAGGAATTGAAAACTGTAAAGCTTCCTCTCACCAGGCCCGGACACCAGAACGTCGCTTATTTTTTAAAAAATTTTCGGTGCTATCCTTTAAAAAACCTTTACATCTTTCTTTAAAAAAAACTAGTACTCCAGAGTTTATTGACGAATATTTTTCTAAAGAACTTTGAGGTTTTTTGTGTCCTTTCAAATATTCGCCGATTTGGAAAACCAAAAAAACATAAGAAAGCAAATTTTAAGATCTAAAAATAAAACCTAATAATATTCCTGTGTTTCTTATTTTCTTCGAAAGCTGAGAAAAGGCAGTCTGTTCTGTTGTATTTCATCTGCCATCTTCCTTCATTCTTAATTAGATTTAGTAGAGGAGGGAGGGAAGGCGGTTCTGTTGTATTTCACATGCCATCTTAATTCTTAATGAGACTTAGTCGAAACGGGAGGGAAGGCCGTTCTGTTATATTTCATCTGCCATCTTGATTCTTAATTAGATTTAGTCGAGGAGGGAGGGAAGGTATTTCTGTTGTATTTCAGCTTCCATCTTAACTCTTAATTTGATTTAGTAGAGGAGGGGGGGGGAGGCAGTTCTCTTATATTTCATCTCCCATCTTTATTCTTAATTAGATTTAGTAGAGGAGGGGTGGGGAGGCAGTTCTGTTGTATTTCATCTTCCATCTTAATTCTTGATTTTATTTAGTAGAGAAGGGGTGGGGAGGCAGTTCTCTTATATTTCATCTCCCATCTTAATTCTTGATATTATTTAGTCCAGGAGGGAGGGAAGACAATTCTATTGTATTTCAACTCTAATCTCAATTCTTGATTTTTAGTCGAGGAGGGGTGGGGAGGCAGTACTCTTATATTTCATCTCCCATCTTAATTCTTGATATCATTTAGTGTATGATGGAGCATTAAATCGTATTTCATGTAACATTTTATTTTAAGATTTGGTTGAAGAGGGAGGGAAGGCTGTTCTAAGCTGCTCCTATATCCTGGGAGAGTCTGAGTTTGTGGACAGTGTGAAATGGTTTCTAAACAGAACGGAGATCTACAGAATTGTTCCGGGTCTTATTGATTATAGGTGACATATTGAAGTATTGATCTTTTATGATGTTTTATATTCATATAAAATTGTAAACTCTGTCTGTTTGTCCGATCATAACTCAGAAACCCCTTAAAGGATTTGTCTCAAATTTTGATTGGGGAAGTCTGGAGAATCAAGGGAATGTTCTTAGCTTGAGATTAGCTTCTGAGAAGTTCAGTGGGTCGACTTTTATAGGGGAAAAAAACTAAAATAGTAATTTACGACCAAGTGCGGGTAAACGGCGGGAATAACTATTAGTTCCCCGGGCAACACTGGGTTCCCAAGCTAGTAATAACATAAATTAACATAAGATTGCTTGAATGTCGTCTTCTTATACCACAGTTTTGTAGATTTCACAAGTTAAGTAAGTACAGGAATATAATGAGATAATTTGTGCCCGACAACTACACAACATCAATAAACATCCATCAACTCCACAACATCAATAAACATCCATCAACTCCACAACATCAATAAACATCAGTCCTTCTTTTCTGTCAAACATTTTGAAAGAAATCAGATTTCTTAGGAATTGCCATGATCTGCAAAATTCCAGCTTGTAAATAGCATTAAAGAATTGGTCTAACAATAAAAATAATAAAATTTGTAAATTTCAATAGTCAGCAATGCAACCCTCATCCCTCTTTCCCTTCTGTGTAGAATTTAAAGATAATTAACAAAGTATTTAAAGATAATTAACAAAATATTTAAAGAGAATTAAATGCCTGTGTCTCATATTCATTAAATTGTCTAAAAAGCTCTAAAAAATGTCGTCTTCCTATTCCAGACCTTTCTGGTTCTCTCTGTATGTGCTGCAAACTTTGGTAATGCAAGTGAAGTTCATAAATATTCAATTTGTTTATTTGTTTGATAAAATTTGAAACTAAATTCAGTTGGGGTGAATAATTCAGAATATAAGAATAAATTCTACATTTTAAATTTTTTGCATTCTTGTTTTATATAATGTTTAGTACAAACCCAAGTTAGATTTTTCTTTGGGAAATTCCCAATACCAATTTTGCGTAAAAAACATCAAGCGTAGCGAACCTTGATCTTGGGAACCCTTGGTAAAAGGAAATTCCTTGAACTTCTTTGTAAAGTATTTGTAATAAAATTACCGCCATTTTTTTTACTTCTAGTAACATGCTTGTATTGGGTTTTAGATTTTTTTTACGAAACCTGGGGAGCAAAAAAAGAGTTTAAAACAACATTAATTAAGATAGTGATGGGTTAGGGGGAAATCTAATTTCCGACATAGAAATTCTACGTCAGAAATTCGGTTCTAAACCTTTTTAATCCTTTTCGTTTTTAAAAATTCTTTCAATTCCTTTTTTATAATCCTTGAATATTTTTCATATTTCAGGATTCTAAATATTCTCTAAACATGTTGATAAGAATAATTTTGCATTTATTGTTACAAATATTTCATCCTTTTGAATTCTACGACGTCATAACTAAGTTCTCAGGAGACGGAGGAGGGGGGGGGGGTGTGTGCATGATTACTGTTTATCTTTATAATGGAGAAATGAATACGACCTATAGAACTGGTAGATTTCCTGACGTGCAGATCTGAAATTAAATTTGGTTGGGATTTCATCAGTGTCCACTCTTGACATATTTGGCTACCAACAAAATCTAAAACTTTAAACACTCCGAAATCCGTATTCATCTAAACATTATTTTTTTATTAATTTCTTTGAGTTTAGTTTTACTCGTCAATTCAGAAGAGACTTATGTTTGGCCTTTTAGTTAAACTTTTATTTTTTCTCAGGGTTGTAAGGTTCCCTGTTCCTGGTCTAGAGATAAGCTTGCCTAGCTCCGGGTTCCCTAGAACAGGAACACATCAGCTAGTTCTTGAGAACCTTTCTACACAAGTTTCTGGAACATATGCATGTCAGGTAGAGGATAAGAGTGAATTATGACAGGTCTCTGGAACATATGCATGTCAGGTAGAGAATAAGAGTGAATTAAGATATGTCTCTGGAACATGTCTCTGGAACATATGCATGTCAGGTAGAGAATAAGAGTGAATTAAGATATGTCTCTGGAACATGTCTCTGGAACATATGCATGTCAGGTAGAGGATAAGAGTCAATTAAGACATGTCTCTGGAACATATGCACGTCAGTAACAGAATAGAAGTGAATTAATACATATCTCAGGAACATAGGCATGTCAGTAATAGAATAAGAGCGAAATAATACATTCCTCTTGAACAAATGCATGTCAGGTAGAGGATAAGAGTGAATTAATACATGTCTCTGGAACATATGCATTTCAGGTAGAGGATAAGAGTGAATTAATACATGATATGACTCTGGAACATATGCATTTCAGGTAGAGGATAGGACAAGTCATTGGATGTTAAGCGAATAAAGCATGATGTCAGGTATAGTGGTCCCCAGAATGATCTGGACTAGTGCAGATGAATGGATTTGGTTGGATGGATTGATTTGAATAAGTATAATGTGTAAATGATTGATTCTAGAAAAAGATTCACCTTCAATTTTATAATTTATTAAACTACAAATTTTATCGGTTCTTTCTACAGTAGTCACAAAAATAAAGCGGAATATGAAAGCAGGGTAAAGTAAATATTTATTTCTAAGGTAGATTAGAATTTAGAAAGCATTTTAGAGAAGAATTTTAGAGAAGAATGTATTAGGATTTTTAAAAGTTTAAAACAAAAGATGTTAACCCTTATCAAATAAACTTCTTAAACAGTCCGTTTTTATTTCTAACTTCTAAAAATTGTAAAAATATTAAATAAAACTTCTGCGAACTTTCCTCCCACTCACAAATATCTAGAATATTTGAAAGGTTTAACTATGAATAAATTGTACAGGCCATGTACTCCACTTCCAAAGGTCAATCTGTATAATACAGTACTCGGGGGTGATTTCTAAAAATATTGAGTTAGGAGAATTTTTTACCATTAACTATTGAGATCCACTACACCTTTCTCGTATGCAGAAATACATTTTCACAGAAAGACGTAATATTACACTCTTTACAGAGCAATATTTCATCATTAATAAACGGTTCTGAGAAAACTGAGTAAAATTCAAGATATAAAACCTCCCCATACACTTTTACCATAGATAAAGATAGATTGCACTTAAGACGACATTTTTCATTTTGAAAGATATAAATGTACAGAGATGTTTTAAAGATATTCCTATTATATTGATTAACTAGGTCGGTTGTGAACATTGGCTGTTCTTATGTCATTGAGTACTTGTGGTGTACATGAGTTCTGTTTAGAGAAATTTAAGTTAGTTTAGTCCTTCTCATGTCCTTCTTCAGTTCTCGTCAATATGATATATTGATATTCTCAAAATAAAATTCACTCCTGAGTGGTTTAATAATTATGAAATCCATTAAAACACTTTGACCCCTAGAAGTTTGAGTTCGCGGACTGTACAATTCTTGGTGATTTTGCGTATACATAAGCTATCTATGTTTATTTATTTATCTATGACTTTTACTTCGAAAGCGTACTGCATATTTGATGTTTGTACTATATAGAATAGGCCATATTCTCTTCATATCCTTTATCAGTAAACTTTCCGAAGTATACACTTGGGCTAATACACACGGACAGGTAGCTAAGATCAAACCCCCCTGAATAATTCTTTTAATCGGATAAAATGGCAGATTTTACGTTTTACTATCAACTATTATTATCAAACAAATCTAACTAAAGAGATTGTCAACGTAATCTCAATTAAACAGCTGCACACTTGATTCACAAGGGTACCTTTTACACCTTTCTATCTATTAAAACGTGTTGAATTCTGATCATTTTATTCCTCCTAAATATCGTATTTATCCGCAAATCGCTTTAATAAAGAAACCACCATTAAAAATTGACAATTTTAAGACAAAAAAGAATTTTTTACAGTTTTTGTTCCTCGCTAAATGGAAAGTAAAAAATAGAATTTATAAATAAATAATATAGAAAATTATCTATAAATATTGCTCTATATCTCTTCCGATTAACATAAGTATCTATGAAACCTAAGGTGTCATAAATTCTCTGTTTGATAATTCCGCCATAATCTAGATATCTGAACAGTCCCTTTACAGCTAAACAAAATATATTGTTTATTTTCAACTCGAAGCTTGAAAAGAAAGCAATGCATGATTGAACTAAATAATCAGGCTGATTTCTTTTTCTTGAAATAGAAAAGGGAATTTTTTATGAATTATTTTTCATTTATTTTCGATTTTAATATTTATTTAAATTTTGAGTTATTTTTGATTTTATCCTTGACTTTTTATCTTATTTCTAGTTTTGTCCTTGATTTTATTATTGATTTTATCCTTGACTTTATACTTCGTTTTATATTTTATTATATTTTTAATTTATCCTTGATTTTAATTTTTATTTTATTGATTTTAGCCTTGATTTTATCCTTCGTTTTATTTTTTTAATTTCATCATTGATTTGATTTTGATTTTATCCTTGATTTCATCTTTGATTTTATCTTTGATTTTATCATTGATTTGATTTTGATTTTATCATAAAGAAACTGAGTTTTTGCCACAAACTCTTATTTTCTGGCTCCTATAATAATCTAAGTTTGAAATATCAAAAGTTTACCCCTTCAGGTTGTAAATATAAAGGGATTAGAAAATTTGTGGAAAAAAATGCACCTTTTTCGCCGTCAGATAAGCTCATTATTCTAAAATTATCACTATTACTAATAATTTTGTCGGACACAAAAACTGAGTTGACACTTGTGACGTCAGAATACAGCTGTACTGAGAGTGTACAAATACTAGGTTGTAAATATAAAGGGATTAGAAAATTTGTGGAAAAAACTTAGTTTCTTTAATCTTTGCTTTTCTCTAGGTTACAGAGAGTAAACCTCCGTTCCACACAGAGGAGATGAAGGATCATTTACAAGTATTTGGTAAGTTTTTCCCGCCATTTTCATTTTATAAAACATTTTGAATTCTCGGAATGTTTATATAATGTTTACGATTCTTGATTTTGTATAGATGACAGAAATTTTTAATTCTACTGAAATTAATTTTTACTTTGAAGCAAGAATTGTTGAGGAATGAATAAATGATAGGACGCTAATCACTAATCATGACATATTAAAGAATATATCATGTATGACAGCTAGGTGTAGGACTGGAGGGGGGGGGAAGGGAGGATGAGGAGGGGGGAGGTAGTCCTAATAGGTATAGAACAAATATTTAGATATTGTAGTAATGATGGAAATGATGTACTCATAAAGTCTACTTTCTGATAAGTAACTGAATTTCCTAATCCCTGTATCTTTGGAACCTGATGGTGTAAACCTCAGATTATTTAGTCTGACAGAATTCATAGTTCAGAATATCAAAGTTCTACGACACTCCGGGTTGCAATTCAATTAATTCGATATTGACAAATAAAGATAAGATATCATTATATTTATTTATAATATCGGTATTTATACATTATACAACATATTAAAGGATTAATGGTTAAAGGTGAAAGATAATCTATAGGTTTATTGGTAATTTCCCCCAGGTTTCATAATAAATAAGCGCAACGAATAGTAAGACCATTATTTATTAATTGATTATGATTGTTCACTGCTTATAACAGATACCATGATGCATATAATAATAATAAAAAGAAATGTACTGCAGATCAATAGTGTGTTGGGTCTACGTCAAGAATAAAAATCTCAGATTAAATGCGCCTAGATTATTAAATCAATGTTATTATATAAATACACATGAATCCAAATAGATTATCAAGGTTTTCAAGATTAAATAAAGAATGTAAAAACAGAAAATAAATAACACAAAAAAATGCACCTTTTTCGCCGTCAGATAAGCTCATTATTCTAAAATTATCACTATTACTAATAATTTTGTCGGACACAAAAACTGAGTTGACACTTGTGATGTAAGAATACAGCTGTACTGAGAGTGTACAAATACTACGTTGCCATCTATTGTACTTAACAGTCTATTTGCATGAATCATTTATTTACTATCTATACCCATATTTTGACTATCTCACGCACGGATCCACAGCTGAGCAATTAGCATACCTGCATCAAAAAAGATTCGGTTCCATTTTGAGTAATTCAAAACCTTTCAAACCAACTACAGATGACATTAGTTCCAAAACTAACACTTGGCCCATTTCTAACACTGAGTGTTAGAAATGGTCACAAATTGAATGGCTGGTGTTTTAGGATCCCAGCCCATATCGAGAGTATAAGTCGATAGTTAAAACTATAACCATGGAATTTTGAACTTACAAATTCCAATTCTGACGAAAACTATGGAACTTTTAACTAACAAATTCCTATCCTGACGAAAATTATGGAACTTTTAACTAACAATTTCCTGTCCTGACGAAAACTATGAAACTTTGAATTAATAAATTCCTATGCTGACACAAAATATGAAATTTGAACTAAAAAATTCCCATTTTAACACAATTTATGAAACCTTGAATTATCTAAGAAATAACAGTGTCGGAGCTTGATAAGAGGTTACCATCTTGCGGCCTTTAAAAGCCTCAAGTTTTGCATCTTAAATCCTTTAAGACAACCAAAATCTTGTCAATTTAATTCCTTTCATACCAAAAAGAAAATCTTATATTTTCAACCCATAAGAAGTAAACCTATTTCAGCGTATTATATATTGTTTATACTGTAGTAGAGTGCTTATTGGAAATCTATCATATTCTCACAGGAAAACTATGAGTTTATATATCTTATTCTTTTCGGTTTCTTTCTTCTTATTTTCAATTCAAATATATTTTGTATTTTTCTATAACTACATCTCCATTTAGATTTCAATAGGACGAATTTGAAGAGTTTAAGCCACGTCCTAAAATTTGTTTTCTATATTTCAAGATTTAAGCCGGTGCTCAATTGAAACCGGTTCAATAAATGTAGATTTATTGAATTAATCCCAATATGTTTGTAACATGATGGCTTAAACCTTTGATATAACAAAAATCAAAGTTTAAAATAACTAAGGTATACGACATTGGGTTGTAAGGATATGGATTAGACTATCAGAGTTTGTGGCAAAAAATAATTCAATTTCTTTTACAGTAAATTAGATTTATTAGTTTAAAGCTCCATAGTTTGCGTCAGGATAGGAATTTGTTAGTTCAAAGTTCCATAGTTGTCGTCAGGATAGGAATTTATTAGTTTAAAGTTCCATAGTTTGCGTCAGGATAGAAATTTATTAGTTTAAAGTTCCATAGTTGTCGTCAGGATAGGAATTTATTAGTTTAAAGTTTCATAATTTGCGTCAGGATATGAATTTATTAGTTTAAAGTTCCATAATTTGCGTCAGGATATGAATTTATTAGTTTAAAGTTCCATAGTTTGCGTCAGGATAGGAATTTGTTAGTTCAAAGTTCCATAGTTGTCGTCAGGATATGAATTTATTAGTTTAAAGTTTCATAATTTGCGTCAGGATATGAATTTATTAGTTAAAAGTTCCAAATTTTGCGTCAGGATAGGAATTTATTAGTTGAAAGTTCCATAATTTGCGCCAGGATATGAATTCATTAGTTTAAAGTTCGATAATTTGCGTCAGGATATAGTTCAAAGTTCCATAATTTGCGTCAGGATAGGAATTTGTTAGTTTAAAGATCCAAATTTTGCGTCAGGATAGGAATTTATTATTTCAAATTGTTCCATAGTTTGCGCCAGGATAGGAATTTGTTAGTTTAAAGTTCCATAGTTTGCGCTAGGATAGGAATTTGTTAGTTCAAAGCAAAGAATTGTAATGTAAAGATAGTTAATTCATAGGTGTACGCATTTTTAGTACTGCAATGTACTGTCTTTGGGCTGTAAGGTAAACACAAGACGGATGTCACAGCCTGACATCCATGGGATCCACCTTTCACATAAAAAATCAATGAAATATTCTGGTCATAGGAAACTATTATCAAAATTTTCAAAATTCAATGCTTTTATCCTCCTCGGATATTAGAGGAACACTGATGCATCTAATCTTGCTCACAAACACCACCCAGAGAGAACTGGTTTCAATATGTACGTAGAGAATACGCAACAGCAATTAACTTTCCTTGCCTTATTACCTTGGATCTAAGCTTCATAGTTTTCGTCAGAATAGGAATTTGTCAGTCCCAGAGTTTGAATTTCAGTCAATATTGATTTATAAAATACAGTCCGTAGACAGAAAAACCTTCACAAAGTGTGATTACTGAAAGTTTATAAAACAAAACAATTATTTAAATGTTCCCTCTGGCCGGCCATACGGCTGGACCGAATGGGCTGAAATTTTTTGTGGACACTCATGAGTAGCTCGGGGTTGACATAGGTTCAACAAATTTCAAAATTTATTTTATTCAAATTTTTTTTTTAATCAAAATTTTTTTTTCTTTTTTTACGGGCAACACCGGGCCCTTTAGTTCATAATAAAATGAAATCTCAAAAAGCACTTGTTTTTTTCCCTGCAAAATTAGAGCCTTTTATTAGAAAAACCTTTTATTATGAATATTAGGGAATAAATTTCTCAAAATAAATCTTTTGAACAAAAAAAAACAATTTTTTCATAAAAAGCTACGAAATTCTGGAGGGTAAATCTAGCAGAAAGGAACGAAATAAGAACCCCATAAACTGGATTTTAACTCACCATAAACAAAAGACTTTGCGCTAAACTAAGTTTCCAGTGCGTATACTGCAGATCACTGCAGTACACTGACCGAAGAAATAGTGGATGTTGAATAATCAAAAACATGATTAAAATTGACTCAATTCTAACAAGGGAACAATCCTTTTATCAATTAGCTCGCTAATGATAATCTTGATAAATTATTTGTTGAACTGGTTTCAACAATAATACTGCAGCTTAAACTATACAAATTAATTTATTTGGCATTAAATCAATAAGAATGATTCTCGTTTTTGTAAAAGGATTAAAGTTCTTTAATTAATGTATTTCATTGATTTTTCAAACTTTGTGAGAACAAAATTTTCAAATGTATAAGTTAAATAACTGAGAAATGTTTTTTTCTCCAACTGTTGAATCATCTTTTTATTTGATCACACATCTGTTTCTGTTCTTCTCTTTTAGATCTACGCATTCTAATCTCCTGTAAACAGGGAAAAATGCACGTTTAGACATATTTATGATTATTACCCTCTTGTTTAAGTAAGAGGGAGGGGGAAGAGATAGAGAGAGAACCCCCCCCCCCTTCTCTGCACTATTATTTTTTTTTTTCCAAGTTGGGCGTCCCATATCATATTAGATTATCTTCAATCTTTAACGCCAAAATACACACATAATACATTAAAAATCTAGCATTTTCTGCAAAAAAAATTCTTCTAGCCTTATTAAGTTTTTTAAAATGATTAATTCTTCTTAAATTTTCTGATTTGTCCCCCAAATCGTAATTTAGACCCATTGACGCGGTCTAATTTGATGTGGGACACCATGTATGTTATTCCACACAGTGCAGGGTTCTGTTCAGCCACAAGAAACTGGAGATATAAGAACCTGACTGTTCTGAGCTCCCTTGATGCTTACACTAGAACCAGATTCAATCGAAAGAATAAATGTCTTTCCGACGAGTTCGGATACTTAATAACAGCTAACCCGGCTTGTTATTAAGGAGAATATTTAAAGCTGCCAGTAGCAAAATCTGGTAAAAAACTGAGAAAAAATAACTGAGAAATGTAATGCATATTTTCTTATAGATATATCTTTAAAAATCAAATTAAAAAGTTTTAAAATATTTTTTTTTTGTCTTTGCCACAAACTCTAGTTTTCTTATCCCTATATCTTTGCAACCCAATTTCCTAGACCTTAGATCTTTAATACTATGAAAGTTCAAAATATCAAAGGTTTACACCATGAAGTTGCAAAGATATAGGGATAAGAAAATTTGAATTTAAAAAATATTTGTTGCAGTGCGTCCCACCGGAAGTTTGCGAATGAGTGGATTAGAACGAGAATATGATCCTGGAGAGAGGATAGAGATCAACTGCTGGACTCCTCCAGCGATACCTCCACCAAACATTACATGGAGGATTAACGGTCAACTGGTAAGAGCTGGAAATTTATAAATTAAATGCGGGTCAACATTTGATTCAAGCTTAAAAAGTGCGGAACATATTTTCTATATTTTCAACCTATCATTGAAGACCTGAGATATTTCAAACTATAAATTATGTTAGATCAAATAATCAATCAATGTTCCATTTAATTTTTCTAATCCAGATAATTATAAATTAAAAAGTACATAAAATATCAGATATAGAGTAGACAGGTTGTGAATATGTGTCCCTCGGAGTTCCATCAGCGCATAAAAAATCTTCGTATTCCATAGAAATAAAAAAAAAATAGTTTTACATTCTTTTTTACTTTATTACTACTTTAAACTTGAGTGTAAAATTGAAAAGGTTTAATATAAAAAAGAATGCAAAACTCTTATCTCAGAATTATTCCTTTTTATTCCTAAACCTTATGGTTTGTTTATGTTTATATATACAAACTGCATACAGTATACAATCATTTTATTCTATTTCCCCATTCAAGTGTACATAAATAAATAAATAAATAAATAAATAGATAAATAAAATTTGGTTATAGAGGACGTGAGTCAGACTCTAATAAAACGCATAGATAACTTCCAGTATATATATTTCTTATAACTTATTACTAGAGGGTTCAGAACTAGAGTCAATATCGATATCGCACGTGTAGACTGTAGAGATGATATCAGTACTAATGCCCCAAATCCGTTCTATCTCATTCTGTTGAATCTTGTGGAACTAGTTTAACGCGGCCAGGCATCGTCTTCCACATGGTTTCATTAACCGTGTGAGTAACATTGCAGGACCCTCCATGAAAATGTCATTGAAATTATTTTGACAAAAATGGCATCATTGTTTTCCCCCTTTATAATATATTTTCTGCTTAGAAGAGATTTTTATTAAAGGAATCTAAAAACATAAAATAAGCCCCCCCCCCCATACATTCTGCTACCCCCTTCATCGTTTAATATTATGCTAAACAATTCTAGTTTTATTGGAACCTTGTTTTTATTAAAACTCTGCAGAGCTACTTCACAAGCATAGATTAATAACAATACAGATAGAACACTAGATGTTGTCTTTTAAAGATTTAGGAGTTTTTCGTTCACAATAACCCTGAGGCAGAATCCCAAAGGACTCATGACGCGTTGAATTATATTCCCGCGTAACTCCTTTGGGCCTCTGTCTTGGATGGTTATTGTTAACGAAAAACTCCTAAATCTTGAAACATCTAGTGTTCTGTCTATATTGTTATTAATCTATGTTCTCGAGGAAAAACAAAAAAATTTGCGGTTTTATAAAGATGGAGAAACTGAAAAATATATTCAATGAACTTAGGGCTGTTATACCCCCCATTCCACACCTTTCTTTTCCATATTATATGCCATCATGATCCAGCAGAACAGAGGTAGTCATAGTTAGGTATATAGGTATTGTTTTGAGGTCCATCTTTACAGTCCTTTCCAGGTTGTTTTTGGTGCTCTCAAAGAATCTGAGATGTTTCATAGAAAGCAAAATAAGATTATCTATAAGTATAGTAGTCATATAGTTATATGTGGGAAATATTGTTCATAACAACCTCTTATAGTTTACAAATAAAAAGACATGGATATGGGGTGAAAGTTGTGTCCCAAATGTTTTAAGGAGGCGGAGGGCTTCCTTTTTTCTCCCCCCCCCCCCCCCCAATAAGCAGCTTCTGTGAAGATAGCTTTAATAAATGAATAATTTGTACTCCTAAACTCCAGAAATTTGTGACGGACAGTAAATCTTCTAAACTTATGAAACAAAATTCTGAGAACTTTGATAAGGTCCAATAAGGCCCGTAGCTAGGGGGACACAGGGGCACAGGGGGTGGCACACTTTCTGAGATAAAAAAAGAAAATGAAAATAAAGAAGAAAAAAAAGGGGAAAAAATTGGCATAAAATCTAATTTTTGTTACATATTATGTGTTAAGGATTTTATTTCTATCCTGTCTTGTGAAATAATAGGGTTTATATTATTTTTTCGTATTTTGAGAAGCTTATCCCTTTCCATTCTTTTATTATATTAATGATCAGTTAAAAATCTACATTTATCAATTTAAACCCTTATTGAGTTTTCAGGTCAACATTTTTTTAACCTTAATTATCAAACTATTTTATTTATAACATTAGTCCCCCCCCCCCCACCCCTTTAGAAACTCCTAGCTACGGGCCTGGGTCCAAGGTTCGAAAACTCGAAATTAGAAATAAATTTTGACAAACTTGGATCACTTTCAAACCTTATAATACTCTGACAAAGCTTTAAAACTCTAGAAAAAGCTAAATTTCTCTGGGTTCTAAAATTTTACTGCTCTGGGTAGTCGTTTAAAATCGGTTAAACTCCGTCGTAAAACCATGCACTGTAAATCTACGAGAAATGTTAACTGCGTAAATCTACGAACCCTGTCTAATCCCTTGAACCTCCTTGAACCTCCTGCTTTAATTAACGATGAACTTGAGGGCTGAAGGTTTATTTCTTAACATCTACACTTTACAGTGTATAAGTACTTCAACCAACATCTTTAATTTGACGCAGCAGACTTAGATCCTGCTATTATTAAAAAAAGTATTCCTTCACCATCATCCCACCGCCCATTCTTTATTTTAAGATTTTGACCCGATGATCTAATCAAACATGATGTTTCATAACCAAGAGCAGGTTCACATTGTTTCTTCTCGAGACCTACAGATCGAACATTTTGATTTCTAATAAAGCTAATCTCAACCTTAACCCTATTCCCGCTGGGGGGGGGGTCAATTTGACCCCCCCCCTGTAGTTTTTTTTACATAACTCAAAAAGTATTGGTCTGAGTCTGTTGAAATTTTCTGACTTTTCTTACATACCCAAAGCCCTCCCTTTAGGCCTAAAACCGGGCTTTAATACTAACTGCCTGAGTCCTCAGGCACACTGCCTGAATGACTGCTGTTGCCTGTAGCAAACTAAATCTTTGTTTTGACCCACTTTCACTTGTCAGATTTTGATAAAATTTAGCTTTTTGGAAAGCCTATGACATAAGGAAACGGATTGCACAAGTTTTGCGAAAAAAAAATTGCAAATCTTTTGCAAACAACCTGTCAAAGGAAATTTGCACATTTTTAGTTTTTCTTGATTAAAAATCAGGTTATTTAAAATTTTGCAAAAATTTTTGCATATTTGAAATGGCATGGTCAAGGGCTTTTCAAAAATGTATAATTTGTCATATTTTGGACAAATTTTTTTTGGCAAACATTTTTACTATAAAACTAGATTTTGCGATAAAAAATTCAATTTTCGCAAATTTGCAATTTTTTTTGCAGATTCTAAAAGTAGAGCACAAGAGCTTTCTAATGATGTATCATTTGTCATATTTGGACATAAAACATGGGATTTAGGGGGGGGGGGCAAATTGGCCCCCCCCCCCCAGCGTATCCTGGTTTTCAAGTACCCCAGCGGAGATAGGGTTAACTCAATGCCAACAGTGAAAACTTTTATTTGAAACGATTTACTACCTTAATTATTATTTTAACTCGTTATTTTCGCAATCTTTCATTGGACGAAGAAAATTTAGATCTATTAAAAAGGAATAATGACTCAAAATTTTGATCAAAGAGCTGAAAAAGGTGTATTACAGAATATTTTTATGTATGTTTTGCATTTCATCTATCTTGTATCTATCTATATATACATACTTTGCTTGTCTGTCCAGCTCGTCCAGCTTATAGGTTAAGTAGTTTTTGAGAAAATGCATTATATTTGCATAAGTCAGCAAAAATGGAAAGTCTATTTGTTTGTTTGTCTGTCCATTTGTATCCAATATTACATCAAAACGGCTGAACCGATCGGGCCCAAATTTTGTGTGGGACCTCACCACATGACCCCAAGGAAGGTTTATGGAACATCAAAATTTGAAATAATTTCTTGGAAATAGTTGAATTTTTTTTTGAAAGTGCGCCAATTTGAAAAGAAAAGTCCGCCAAAATTTGAAAATGAGCAACAGTTAAAAGCTAAAATTAGTTCCAGGAAAAGGGCCGCGAAGCGTCCTGATAACCTATATATACTTTGCTTGTCTGTCTATTTGGTTGTTTCTTTGCATCCAATAAACGTCAAAACGGGCCCAATTTTTTATGGGGACTCAGAAATGGCCACTTTCAAAGAAACAGTTGAAATCTAAAATTGTAAATATGAAAGGGGGAGCGAAGGGCACTAAAGGCCTAGTGTTTATACATATAATTAAGTAAACAGATGAGGATTTTTTTATGGAAAGAATGAGATAAACCCGTTTTTTCCATTCAAAAATGTCTGTCTCAGTGTACAGTGTACACAGCACATTTTTCAATGACAATTTTAGCCTAATTGTAATCCTTTACCAATATATTTTCAATTGGCTCATAATAAATTTTCTTTTGTGTTTTATTTTAAGCTGAACTATCATACATTATTATTTTGTATTTTGTGTTTGAAAATAAATACTAAATACTAAATAATGCATCTTAAATATAAGATTTCTTAACAATTCCCTTATTCTTCAATTTTAATAAATTCTTAATTATAATTTTTTTAGAAGACACACACTTTAAACATCAAAATTGAAAATACTTGCTACAAACTTTAATTGTCTAACCCTTATATATTTATTGAAAATCATTGATATTTTCAAACTTAAACTTTTTGATCTTGAAGAATTCGTTTTTTGAAATATCATAGGGTTTACGCCTTCAGTTTGCAAAGATAAAGAGATTGGATTGTGGAGTATTCAGTTTCATTGCTTTATCTAAGTATGACGTTAATATCATATTAAATATAGATATAATGACGGTAAAACTGAATATTCTCAAGTGTACTCAATAGAATACAGTGTTTAGAGTTCAATTGGATAAAAGAATCTAGAAATAACACAGTTATACTTTCAATTCATTCAACTGTCAAGCTCAATACAATATTCGGTGTTTAGAGTTCTATTGGATAAAAGAATCTAGAAATAACACAGTTATGCTTACAATTCATTAAACTGTAACACTCAATACAATATACCGTGTTTAGAGTTCTATTGGATAAGATAATATTGAACTAACACAGTTATACTTANCTTATTAAAAAAAACTCTAAAATGTGCTCTTCAGTATATTTTTTAATTTTAGAGGGGGTCGTTCAAGTGACATTTCGTCGTTCGATGCTTCCGTTTGGCGTGAACCTATGTCGAATGTTCATAAACCTCTTTGTTTACTTTCAACAGTTAATAAATATACTTAGAAATTATAATAATAAATACTTAATTAGATTACTTTGACGAAATTATCTTTCAAATTATTTCTTAATGAGGCCCCAGTTTGTCCTCTCTTCAAGGGGTTCTAGGTTTAAAACTTAACTGATTTGCCCTAAAGGAACTAACTAATTTCTCCCCATAAACTCTAATTTTCTAATCCATAATATAATTTGGCAACCTGATGTCCTTAACCTCTAATATTTTAGACTTATTTTAGATCCAATAGTCAAATTCTGAAATAATAAAGTTTCAAACCTTCAGGTTGGAAAAATATCAGGTTTGGAAATTTAGTCTGAGTCTGAGAAAACTGATTAGTTCAAGATATTTTTAAAAATGTCGCGATTCTTAAACGATTTTGTTTTAGGCTGAGGGAATTGGTGCCTCATGGAAGAGTTCCTGTGAGAAGGTTGCCTTGCTCTACTCGTGCTCCTCAACCCTATCCCTCCCCTCCTCTCCTATCCCTCAACCCAAACTAGCCCAATCCCTGTCCTCCTCGCCTCTTCCCCAACCTAACCCAACCCAATCCCTGTCCTCCTCTCCCCTACCTGAACCCAACCTAAACGAAACCTTGCCCTCGACTCCGCAGCGCTCAATCATGGTTCGGTGTTCAGCCAATATTGGAACCAAGTATGAGGATTGGGTTGAAGGAGAGATAAGACTAGTTCTCCCAACCAATCCTATCCTTGGGGTTCCACTCACCTCCTTCTCCGTTCTCCTTCATCAACCCAACCTTTCATGTTCTCTAGTTTTAATCTTGCTAACTCAAATGTTTGTTTAACGATATCTTAACGTTTTTTTTTCACCCAAGAATAATAAATCTATTTTATCTTTGTAATATGCATTGTAATTAAAAGAAAAAAACTAGCCAACACAACAAACATTAACAATAATTATCTTTCTAAATAAAAAAGAAAAAATGGGAGAAAAAAGTGTCTTCCGTGGATTGTTTTTTAACTGACATGTTAAACGTAACTGGTAAGGATGTCAAGTAAAAAAATATAAGAAAAAAATAAGCTGTCACATCAAATTGTTGGATGGTAAAACTAAGAATAACATATCTCCCAAAAGGATTATTCCTAAATATATATATGAATATATTGTATAAGATATATAGATAAAGGATATTAATGATAAAACAATACATATATAATATTACTGTAGAATATATTTGGCTGAGGCAGGGGGAGGAAATTGTCTGGCAGTTCTCAATAGTTGTTAAGGTTTCATGTATTGGGGAAACATATATATATAATATATAAATCTTACATTTATATACATATGTATCTAATTCTATATATATATTTTATATATATAATATATATATATCTTACATTTATATACATATGTATCTAATTCTAATTTGGTTTATACGTCTGCCATATTTTGTTTGTTGGTTAGTCTGTATCCAATAAACGCACAATTTCTTTGGTGACTAACAATATCCTATAGAAAAGGATTATAAAAATTTAAAGTCGTCTTTATTGTATTGATATAATTGCCTACCACTGTACGTTATACATATACATATACATTTACATTATACATACATACATAAGCATTATTCATGAGTAAATATAAATACATACTACATGAGGAACTGATTCAAAAACTGATTAAAGTTTTTGTCACAAACTCTAATTTTCTAGTTCAAACAATCTTTGCAACCTGATGATGTAAACCTTTGATATGTCAAACTCGGATTATTTGTTTTAAGATATTTCATAGTTTGACATTGACAACATTGGGTTGCAAAGATATTGGGATTAGAAAATAAGAATGAAATCAAAGACCAAGGTGTTGCTACACTTTGAAGTCAACCCAGTCATGAAATTGATGCATATTTCCAGAGCAGTCTAAATCTATGTGAAGCCTATAAATCTAAAGCTCATGTTACTTCGTGTCTGAAACATGAAAAGTTAAAGAATTATCTTTTTTATTTTGCATAGTTTCAGATAATTTGCATAATTTATATATTTTGCATAATCTTGGTCTTATCTAAGAAATGTGTACATTGTACACAATCTCTGAGAAAATGGTACTGCAGAAATAATGTATGTACATAAATTTTGTTATACAGTGATTTTGTAAACAAGGAGTACTCTTTCTTGGCTATTCCACCAAATGCAGAATGCTGTACCGTGAACACTGCTGCAGTGTACACGATAAAAAAAACTGTTTTTTTTTTTAAACAAAAATAATGTTTTTTTAACTTCGGGTTTTTATCGGTCCCCATCGCGCTTTTTTTATAGTTATAAACTAATCTATTTTCTATTTATTTTAACAACGTGCACAATCTGTTCTCGCAGATTTGTTTAAAGGGTAAATTTATTCAAATTCCAAAACATTTAAACCGAGGAGAATCTTTTTAATCCTGGCCTACCACTGTGACTTGGGAAAAGAACTGTAAATGTATTTTTTAGTGACCCTGTAATTTCAATGATACCCTGTAAACCTGTTATTTTTATCTTGAAAGGGATAAATTCTGTAAATTATTGTCTTTATCACACTCCTCTATGCCGAGTCCATTAGCGCCTGATCCAATCAGGGTTCAGTCATGTGTTTGTTGTCTATTCTGAACCAATAGAAATAGTATGGCGGTAACCTCTACTTTATATCTATCTCATTATCCAATCAGAGTTATGAATCCTTCAATCAGTAAATTGAAATATTTACTTCTACAGAAACCATAGTGATCAATACGGCGACACTTTTACAGAGAAACCACATTTGTAAACTTTAAAATTTCATTGATTTAGCTCAGAGAGAAAGGTTTTAAGAATGCCGTTTTGAATCTGGCATGTAATGATACTTCAAATTTTTTAATTATCATTTAAATATGATGTTTTTGAACTTATTTTTGATTTAAACTAAAATCACAGAAATGCAAAATCAACAATTTTATTTGATGTTAAAGTAAGGTTGAAGACTTATCCTGTTCTTGGAACATAAAATATATTTCTTTCCAGATTCTTCCAGAATATTTATCTGGTTCAACTTCTGTATAAGTCTATTTAAAGTTAAAGAGACTGTTCACTTATTTTCTAGTGACCCTCTCTTGAAAAATTGGTACGTACGCTTTTAATTGGAAAAGAAAATTTGATACCTCAACCAATACATCATTTAATGAGGGAGATGAGATATCTGATCTGACATTCCTTAATCAGACAAAGGTTTTAATAGTACATTCTACTCTGTAGATGAAGGCTAACTTGAAATCCCATCTACAGTCTCGTTTGGTATACTATTTTTAAAAATATATTGCACGGATTGTTGCATGCATGGATAAATGGATCTATAACACCAACAACAAAAACAACAACAACAACAGCAACAACAACAACAAAAACAATGCAACAACAAAAACCACCACAACAACAACAACAATAAACAAAAACAGCAACAACAAGGAAAACAACAACTAAAAAAAATAACAACAACAACAATAAACAACAACAACAATAAACAAAAACAACAAAAAAAAGCAAAAACAACAACAACAGTAGAACAAAAATAACAACAACAAAAACAACATCAGAACAACAATAACATCAACAACAACGACAACGACAACAACAACAACAACAGCAAAAACAACAACAACAAAAACCACAACACAACAACAACAATAAAAACAATAGCAACAATAAACAAAAACAACAAAAACAGCAGCAACAACAACAACAACCTCAAACTACAACAACAATAAAAACAACAAAAACAACAACAACAGCAGCAAACACAAAAAAACAATTAAAACTACAACAAATACCACAACACCACAACAACAATAACAACAATAACAACAAAAAACAAAAACAACAAAACCGCAACAACCACAACACCACCACAACAACAATAACAACTGCAAAAACAACAACAAAAATAACAACAACAACAAAAACAACAGCAAAACAACAAAACAACAAAACAACAAAACAACAACAAAAAAACAGTCCTCAGTCTACGAGAGGAGCAAAGATAAATGGCGTGTGTGGGGTTTGGATGAAAAACATCATTAAGAGTTACAAATAGATTAAATTATTCTTGATAAGTCCAATCGAATGAAATTCTATATTTACGATTCATCTTATTTGTTAGCAAGATCTTCACGGCACACTAATTTACAGTAAAGGTAAAAGTAAAATTTATACGACTAATTGTAACCTCGTAGCTTCTATAGTTTAGACTTTTAAATACACATTTAAATAGTTTCATATTAGAAATTCAAAACGGTTCTTTTCAAAGGAATTGAGCATTTGCCACAAACTTTCATTTTCTAATTTCTATATCTTTGCAACCCAATGTCGTAGACCTTAGATATTGCAAACGAAGAACTGTTATTGATCAAATAATCTAAGGTTGAAATATCAAAGAAAATTTAAGTTTGTGGCAAAAACTCAATTCCTTGGCGTTGATTTGTTGCATTTAAGGGTTTAAGGGTTACTCTACAAAGCGTAGCCAATCAAAAATGTATGTGAGTAAGTTTTTATCATAGTTTTCCATGTATACTGTAAAAATTTGAAATAATGTTTATTAATGTATCATTCGAATTCGATATCTTTCTTTTTTACCCTTTTCTCAATAATTTCATATTCAATCCTTTAACAAATACATTGTCTGGTCGATATATATTATTGCCGTAAACCTTTTTTGCTCGGGTTTTGCTTTAACATAAATGTGTTTTTTAACCTTTTTCTTTTCCAGGGGACAAAACTGTTTCTATAAATATTTCTCTAAATATACATATTTGCGGTAAAACTTTTATATTTGTTCGGAGAATAAACTTTAAAAACCTTTATGTTCGAGAAGAACATGGAGGAAAAAAGTGTGTTCCAATAAAAATGTGAACTTAAAGACGTCATTAAGATCGTCTAAATCTTTGATCTTATAGTTTTCCGAAGTGGGACAATTCTTAGAAAAATAAATTGAAATTTGGTCTTTTAATTTATTTTTCACCAATTATGAAGACGCAAAAATGTCAGCCCTAAGTTTTGTAATTCTCAAAGTTAAAGGAACTGCAGTGCGCATAATTTCAAGTGACCAATTCCATGCAAGGATGGCAATGCCCGATTCACAAAATTACCCTTGAAACCTTTATCTGATCTATAATGTGCTAGATATGGTCGATTTTCAAGGTTTAAAAGTGTTACATTTTATAGTTCTTATATTTTCCTGCAGTAGAAATGCGCAAGTCACTTAAGTAGAGAACTCACAATTTAACAGAATCAGTTTTAAATATTATAAACATAGACTTCTAACTCATACTTTAACAGACAAATCTTTAAAAAGGTACCGTTGACAATCGACCATTGTCATCTGTGCATGGAGGGTCTTTTAAAATTAAGTTCATAGTCCCTTTAAGGGCTTTCGTGGGTATTGTCTCATTTAGAATACTACTGTCATTGTGTTAACCAAAAAGTTATTTCCTATGTTTTTTGAGACATGGGAACTTTAGAATGGGATACTGTTAATCCTGACTGCTTAATCCGAATATCCAATGTGGACACTTTTGATTTCTTGCTTAATTCACTCTTTTTTGGATATAGTACAGAAAAATCAATAACCGGTTTTTTTAAATTAGAGTCCTTTCCGTTTCTGTATATAAATCTTAAATGGCGCCGCAAAATTTCAAATTTACCGGCTTCTGATACGCAACTCTAATTGATTGAATTTTATACACTTTTTAGGATACAAGTACAAGATTAAGTTAGTCTCAAGATTAAGAAAAAGTGAGGATTAAGCATTAATCTCGATATCCACCATTCTAAAGTTCCCATCTCCGGTCACTATAGTTTTAGTAGAAGTAAATATTTCCATTTACTGTTTAGCGCCGATTAAAGGATTTATCTCTAATTGGATAATGAGCTAGATAGAAAGATAGATGTTACCGCAATACTTTTTCTATTGGTTCAGAATA